AAATTGAATTACTTCCAATGGAAATTAAACAAATGTTGGTCCAAAATGTGATTTCCCTATATAAACTATAGTAAAGTTTACCCCCTCCCCAGGGGAAAACATGAGACCCCAGGGTCAAGAAGTTTACAATTTGGTAAAGCACCTTAAGATCCTTCTATCTATGAAGAGTATTTGATTCTACTATATCTGGATGGAGAGAGGAAGATTTTTGAAATTTTAGTCAATTTGACCCTTTTTGGCCCCATCCATCAGCCCCTGGGGCCCAGTCAGGGCTCATATGTGCATACTATCAAACTGCTACCTAATACTGATAATGCTAACCTAATTTGACTTACTTCCAATGGAAATTAAAAAAATGTTGGTCCAAAATGTGATTTCCCTATATAAACTATAGTAAAGTTTACCCCCTCCCCAGGGGGAAACGTGAGACCCCAGGGTCAAGAAATTCACATTTTGGTAAAGCACCTTAAGATCCTTCCATCTATGGAAAGTATTTGAGTGTACCATATCTGGGTCTGGAGAAGAAGATTTTTGAAATTTTAGTCAATTTGACCCTTTTTGGCCCCGCCTCTCAGGCCCCTGGGGCTGGGGACCAAATCAACCACTATTTTTGTTGACCTTTGGCCATGGAAGGTTTCTGCAAAGTTGAAAATGTAAATTGTTTATGGACGGACGTTGGATGACGGACGAGACCGGACAAAAGGAGATCGCAATAGGTCACTTGAGACTTTGTCTCAGTTGACCTAAAAAGCCCCAATAAAGAATTTGGCAAAGGATGGTCAACTTAATGTTACTCAAATGATCATTATAACATTCCACATTTTTTCCATTTGGCGTTTCATGACTTCTGAAAGTCATTGGATTGGCTTTGTTCCTCAACTTCCATCACCAAAATAGAACTTTGTTACAAAGCTAGTGAAACGGTAACCAATCTTGTGTCTAAAAAATAAACATTCCAGCACCTTTGAAAGACAAGCCATTCAGGTTGATATATCTCGCCCATGCCCCGCTTTGACCATCAATGCACATATCAGAGAAACTAACTTCAATGCAAAAACTTAATGGTGATGTAGATGCTGACAAAGTCAATGGACCATGAAAGGTAGGCCGCATCCAGTATTTGATGCATGGGTTGAGATGTACTACCTAAGATGCATCTATGGTACCAGTCCAAGTTTGGTTGGTCTAGCACTTATACTTTCAGTGAAACTAACTTAAAACGCAAAGTTAATGTTGATGCCACCGTCGCCGTAAAAGCTACTTTGTGAGATAAAAACTGAGCATATTCCAGCATCTTTCTTGGAAAGAACCAGGTATTTCTAGTACTTCTTTAAGCATCGACCTCAATTCAAACACTTTTCATGGCCTGTATTGCACCTTGGGTATTAGTCTAACATGATAAATAAGCCAAAAAGCAATAAAATGGTAGCAAAATATTTGTACCAAAGCTAAAGGAGTAGGCCAACATTATAACGTACCAGTATCAGGAAAACATCAGCTTGTAAATAAATCACATTCTTACCTAAAACGCCGTGAAGATTTTGAAATATTTCTGATTTAGTGTCCAATTTGATGCTCCATTTTTCCTGAGAAAAAAAAGAAACAATTTGTGAAGTCAATACATTATATCCAGAAACTTGTCCTTAATTCTTATACAAATCATGTTTAAACTTAAAAAATAAAAATATGAACAAAAAACTTTATAAACTTTTAAACTTTATTTTACAAAAACAAACCTTAAAACTTTTTTATGAAATTAAACTTAAGAATTTTTCTACTAAATTAAATTAAATTAAAAACTTTGTAATTTTAAAATTATTATTTGTTCCTTTCTAGAATAGAACAGGTAGATACATTCATGGAGTGGAATTGCTGCAATCATGTAAAAATATTTAAAGTGATAAGAAAAAATGATGATTTATATTTTAACTAGCCCCATCCACTGCTATACAGCCCCATCCACTGCTATACCGCCCCATCCACTGCTATACAGCCCCCTCCACTGCTATACAGCCCCATCCGCTGCTATACAGCCCCATCCACTGCTATCCAGCCCCATCCCACTGCTATACAGCCCCACCCACTGCTTTACAGCCCCATCCACTGCTCTACAGCCCCATCCACTGCTATCCAGCCCCATCCACTGCTATCCAGCCCCATCCACAGCCCCATCCACTGCTATACAGCCACATCCACTGCTATACAGCCCCATCCATGGTTATACAGCCCCATTCACTGCTATACAGCTCAATCCACTGCTATACACCCCCATCCACTCCAATACACCCCCATCCACAGCCCCATCCACTGCTATACAGCCACATCCACTGCTATACAGCCCCATCCTACTGCTTTAGAGCCCCATCCACTGCTATACAGCCCCAGCCACTGCTATACAGCCCCATCCACTCCTATACAGCCCCATCTACTGCTATACAGCCCCATGCACTGCTATACAGCCCCATCCCACTGCTATCCAGCCCCATCCACTGCTTTACAGCCACATCCACTGCTATACACCCCAAAGTTAACTCAGTAATTAATAATAATTCAGAATTGGATACTGCTTTACAGCTCAATCCACTGCTATACAGCCCCACCCATGGTTATACAGCCCCATTCACTGCTATACAGCTCAATCAACTGCTATACAGCCCCATCCACTGCTATCCAGCCCCATCCACTGCTATATATACAGCCCCATCCACTGCTATACCGCCCCATCCACTGCTATATATACAGCCCCAACCACGGCTATACAACTGCTATACAGCTCCATCCACCTGCAATCATGTAAAAATATTTAAAGTGAGAAGAAAAAATGATGATTTATATTTTACCTAGCCCCATCCACTGCTATACAGCCCAATCCACTGCTATACAGCCCCATCCATGGTTATACAGCCCCATTCACTGCTTTACACCCCACCCACTGCTATACAGTCCCATCCACTTCTATACAGCCCCGTCGACTGCTATACAGCCCCATCTACTGCTATACACCCCCATCCACTGCTATCCAGCCCCATCCACTGCTATCCAGCCCCATCCCACTGCTATACAGCCCCACCCACTGCTTTACAGCCCCATCCACTGCTTTGCAGCCCCATCCACTGCTATACAGCCACATCCACTGCTATACAGCCCCATCCCCTGCTTTACAGCCCCATCCACTGCTCTACAGCCCCATCCACTGCTATCCAGCCCCATCCACTGCTTTACAGCCCCATCCACTGCTCTACAGCCCCATCCACTGCTATCCAGCCCCATCCCACTGCTATACAGCCCCATCCACTCCTATACAGCCCCATCCACTGCTATATATACCGCCCCATCCACTGCTATACAGCCCCCTCCACTGCTATACAGCCCCATCCACTACTATACAGCCCCATCTACTGCTATACACCCCCATCCACTGCTATCCAGCCCCATCCACTGCTTTCCAGCCCCATCCACTGCTTTACAGCCCCCTCCACTGCTTTACAGCCCCATCCACAGCCCCATCCACTGCTATACAGCCACATCCACTGCTATACAGCCCCATCCCACGGCTATACAGCCCCATCCACTGCTATCCAGCCCCATCCCACTGCTATACAGCCCCACCCACTGCTATACAGCCCCATCTACTGCTATACACCCCCATCCACTGCTATCCAGCCCCATCCACAGCCCCATCCACTGCTATACAGCCTCATCCACTGCTATATATACAGCCCCATCCACTGCTATACCGCCCCATCCACTGCTATACAGCCCCTTCCACTGCTATACAGCCCCATCTACAGCCCCATCCACTGCTATACAGCCTCATCCACTGCTATATATACAGCCCCAACCACGGCTATACAACTGCTATACAGCTCCATCCACCTGCAATCATGTAAAAATATTTAAAGGGATAAGAAAAAATGATGATTTATATTTTAACTAGCCCCATCCCCTGCTATACAGCCCCATCCGCTGCTATACAGCCCCATCCACTGCTATCCAGCCCCATCCCACTGCTATACAGCCCCATCCACAGCCCCATCCACTGCTATACAGCCTCATCCACTGCTATATATACAGCCCCAACCACGGCTATACAACTGCTATACAGCTCCATCCACCTGCAATCATGTAAAAATATTTAAAGCGATAAGAAAACATGATGATTTATATTTTAACTAGCCCCATCCCCTGCTATACAGCCCCATCCGCTGCTATAAAGCCCCATCCACTGCTATACAGTCCCATCCACTGCAATACAGCCCCATCCACTGCTATACACCCCCATCCACTGCTATACAGCCCCATCTACTGCTATACAGCCCCATCCACTGCTATACAGCCCCATCCCACTGCTATACAGCCCCATCCACTGCTATACAGCCCCATCCACTGCTATACAGCCCCATCTACTGCTATACAGCCCCATCCACTGCTTTACAGCCCCATCCACTGCTATACACCCCAAAGTTAACTCAGTAATTAATAATAATTCAGAATTGGATTGATAAAATTATATATGCTTGAAATAATAATTTCTGCATAATCATATCATCATTAGCAGTATTTATATAGTTATAAATTTCCTGGTTATAGATCATCAATAAGTCTGCAGGAAAATTGTAGGTCTCACCAAATCGTATTATCTACACGCCCTCAGCTAGACGTCGGATTACACCTTATAGACTGTAGGGTAATCAATTACACCTGAAATCAACGATCGTGTGCCCTATATTCAAATTCTGAGAACCCTGACAATTTCCAATAAAGCCACAAGGAAGTAGTTGTAGGTCACTAGAATCTTGATCATGCACAACATTTAACTCATTCGCCCCTACATTTTTAAAATGGACTTGCCAAGTCTTTGATTTGGTAAAGTTTAAATGTGAATTTAGGGGTGAAGTGGATTGAGGGGTGACTGGGTTAAAAGTCTGTAACATATGTACAGACCCATTTAAACCTGTATATTACAGTGCATCTTTCTACTTGCTGACCTGGTAACCTAATGAGCAAGTTAAAATCATAATATTCAAATGATGTTTCTCATAATGCCAAAAGGAGAGAAAAAAAAGTTGTTTTGAAAATGAGAACAAAATAATAAAAAAATCTTTTAAAATCATTTATCAGAAAACTAAAGAGCTGTAAAATGTATTTAACTGACATTAGATGAAGAAAAAATATGCAATGATTGAGATTTAAGAAAATGAACTAGAATTGCTATAAATGAAGTGATATAAATTTCAATGACAGATGTGTATTAATTGAGCAATAATTATAATTATAAATTTAGTTGTGCGACGACACCTTCAACCCAGAACTGATCAGGGTCAAGGTCACTTACCCGCAGGGTTTTGTCCAGGAAGATTTCCGTGTAATACAGCTGGTCATCCTCCTTGTTACGTATCGCCTTGTGGTTGATGATTTCGACGATGTCTTTGGCGTACCCAATGAATCCTTCAGGAAGACAGACAGAATTTCATATTAACAAGGAAAGTAAGACAAATTCAATGAATATTGAAATCATACACGATACAATGAAAAGAAACAATTTGTTAATAAATGTCAAGGTCATTCTTTGATATTTCCAATGAAGGTCAAAGTGATTGATATTGTCACATCTCCATTGTCACTGTGTAAGGTAAGTCATGCAGTGAGTCAGACACATACATGTTTGTAGTTGAATCCTAAAATCAGCCAAGTTGTATTAGATTTCTTTTATATTTTGACAATTTCTTAAGGAGATATGCTACCTTACTGTGAATTGTACCTCCTTTTTAAAAGATTTGAATCCTATTTTTATGAACTCTAGTTATGTTAATTAACAGATATTTTTAAGAGTACACAAGAAAATATTGCATTGATACTACTGCTGATACTACTGTATCAATTCTTCATTTTTATGAGGATCTCTCGTACACAAACAGTATAAATGTGTAAATTTGAATCAACATACTCAAAGTTACAATACAGCGAAATGGTTTTATTGGAGAGAAAAAACTTACCTCCGGAACAGAGGAATCGACTTTCCTGTTGCTTGACTTCTGGGTAAAGATCCTACAACCAAACAAATAATAAAACTCTTACATAAAACACAATCACAAAACAGTTACATCCCCTGCATATCTGACATTGCAATGCGAATCACACCATGCACCAAAACTACCAAATCAGCTTGCTTGAAAATTTAGAAGTTCTGCTGAGATTTTAGAAATGATGAAATTTTCAACCAAGGGCAAACGGATAGAACTAACCTGTCAAACGTATAAACAGAGGACTATATAGGTATGAAGCAATAGTTGGTTTAACTCATTCACCCCTACATATTTATACTGGACTTGCCCAGTCTTTGATCTGGTTAGGTTCAAATGTGACGTTAGGGGTGAATGGGTTAAAGGCACCCACTGTTAGAAGTGTTCTTACAACCAAGGTTGACAATTACACACACTATATGCTGGTCCCATATATATATATTTCTACTGCTGATTCATAGCAAAATAACTAGAACAACATTGATCAGACCTAAGATGCCATAGGTTGTACATGTTGTCAGTATTTGTCAGGGTATAGAGGAGGATGAAATTGTGGATTAACCCATTACAGAGCCTTCAAAAACAGAAACAAGGGAGATAATTAATAAAAGAGACAGGTATTTTTTTAAATTCTGCAAAGCTGTTATTTTTTGAATTCCTATTTTCATGGTCAAAATATTTCTGCAAATAAAATTTAATCTGGCGATATTATCATTTCCGTTAGTCCGCATTGGAACTTATCAAACTACAAACTGCAAAAAAGTTATCTTGTGAATTATGTGTCTTTTTTACCTGCAAATTATTAATTGTACCATTGGGGGGGGAAAAACATTATATCAAAAAGTTATTTGACGCGTGTGAACATTGTATGCATGTCTCTGTAAACCAGTCTGCTCTCGTGTTCACTCTATTCCATTTAAATCCAAGCATAGGATCAATAACAGCCTTCAGTTTATCTTAGGTCTTTTATAAACAAGGATCTGACAACTCCACGATATTAACCCATCTCCAGGTGACAGCCATTTAAGGTTATCTCAACAAATATGAGCTGAAACGATGCCCAGATTTAAACGTAATTAATCTTAGTTCCAAACGTATTGTGCTGATTCACCGTTTTTAAGCTGTAGTGTGTGTTCCAGATTGTCACTTTGGGTAAAGAATTTATCAGGTACATGCATGTATATTTTGTTTCTGAGAATTTCTGTACTCTAGTGACACAAATTGGTCCCAGGGTACAGAAAAATGTGCAGTTGATAATCTTTACATTAGTTTAGACATTTGATAAATGGTATATAAAAAGAAAGAAGGTGGCTATCGTGCACGTTTGTACGGACCTTAGGCTGGCAGATTTTTGGACCAATAAGAAAACACAAGAATTCCACAAGAGTGGATGTGTCGCCTGCTCAGCGCTTTTAGTGAGAAAAGAGTTTTGGCTTGAGTTATCGCATAAACAAGCAAAAATTAATGGCAAAAACGATGAACAGCGTTGCTATGTCAAGCGCGGTATGCCAAAATGCGGAGAGTTGAAACTCAACAGAAAAAAACATAATATGTGTTAAACATTATTGCTTCTAGCATTACCGTACAAAATTTGACAGGAATTGATTAAAAAATATTAAAGTTCTTGCATTTACTACACAATGCCCTTATTTGGCAATAAAAGAGGCAAAACTCCACAAAAATGTATGTTGACTTCTGAAATGCAAACTCATTCAAGCTATATTGGTATGCAATGTGTGTACCAAGTTTGAATTAAATCAACCAAAGAAAACTCAACTTATCGCATGGAAACCTTGTTTCGGACGCCTCAACCGATGACGCCGCTGACGACATAGTAATATACCTTCATGTTGCCTCACATTGCAGGTGACACAGAAACAGACGCGATAGATAACTATTTTAAGACAGTACATGGCCTCTATTGCTCTTCGTTTATGTAATTAGTTTCACACCTCATCAGAGAACAACATTATATCAGTGACCCTGACGTTGAGATGGAGGTCTTGATTGTGATATACCATATTTATCCTGCAATATGCCCAGGGAACAACACGTAATCTCTTTACTCCAATTCGGGGAATGAGTGGGCTTATTATAGGAAAATGTCAAAGCATTTGTTAGCATTTTTAACAAATGGCAAAAGACATGGGTGGGCTTATTATTAGGCATGGGCTTTTTGCAAAACGTATCAATCTACACTTCTACAAAAGTATTCCCCTGATAATTGTTATTAACATACAAAATAATCTCTATATAATGCACCTCCATACATTTGCGATCTCACCTACCGCCAACATATTTCAAGGTCCATTTTTTTCCATTTTCATCATTTTTTGTTCATCGATACCCTAGGCCTTGACATGTCACCAAACCCTGTGCAGTATAGCATGGTTATCTATAGTCTTTTGTGAATTTTACATTCATCTATAGATAAGTACCTGTTCTAGAAGTACATAATGCCTGGATAAGAATTAAATTTACGACCTCCATCCATCCCTCCATTATCATTATTTGTTTGTTTGGGGTTTTAAACGTCCTCGTAACAGTTGGGGTCATATGATGACAGGTGCCTAGGAACACACCATTGGAAACAGAAATTAGATAGCAAGAAATAAGACAGAAATATACAGAGGGTTGTAAAGTATCCAATGGGATGTGATTTACATATCAAAACATTCAGTACCATAATTACCACTTTAAAACACCAACAGTAACTCCTGTTTTTGTTTTCCTGCTGGGGTTCCTTTTACAAGACTTAGGTAGCCAGTAGAAATGTTTAGGGGCTTGGCTACTAAAAAGGATTGAAACTGAAGTGGGTTCAATAAGCTATCTGGGGTCGATCAAGATTTCAAGGTATCTGTGTCCTTATTAGCGAGACCAGAGATCAATGCTCATGTTTTACAAGGAAGTAACGGTAGTTGTACCTAACAGACACTTTAAGGTTGGTATATGTATACTTTGTAATAAAATGCAATACAATAGACAGACATTTAAATGTTTTATAGACAAAGGGACTAGCTTGTTCAAAGTCTGGTTAACTTTACGATGCATCAGACGGAATTTTTTAATTGTTATTGTTTAAAAATCTTTAAAAAAAAAAAGTATATCTGGCATGTTATCTAGGGGGGATCCTTCCGAATTCGAGGAGAGCTATATTTTGCTTTTGGATTTTAAATGTTATCAAAACAATCTTGATTGAAATTTTATCTTCATATGCATTTAGCTAACAATTCTTAATTACAACTTTAATACATTTGTTAGCTTAATGAGATAATTTCAAAATGTCTTGACCAAACTAAATGCCTGATAAGTATTATTTTCTTTCTTTTATTTGGGAACTTTGATCTGAAAATGGTAACTTTTTGTTCCATAAATCAATATATTTTTAAAAATTTGTTGTTAAATGAATCAAATTACATTGTTACAAAACCCAAACCAATCAGGCCATTGGCAGGTGTACATTTATGTATATATATATCTACATTAATTGACTTCAATTCTATAGTCCAAACCAATACACAATCTGTGTTGTTCAAAGACAAATACCTCGTTACTAGGTGGAGGAAGTAGGTCTGTTCTGAACGTAGCCAAAGACTCCGAGCTGAACCAGAAATTCAGGAACTTTTTAAAGGTCACTAAAGTGTCGGAAGAAATGAACCAGCTCGAACATTCTAAGAAGAAATGAACGAGTGTGAATTTAAAAGTTGAACCAGTGAATTTTCATCTTTACTACGGACTGTTCAAAGGATTCCAAATTTGAACGAGTGCCAGTATCAGCTACTGAACATTTACAAATGTTATTGTAACAGTTTATAAAGACACCAGTAGCTTTGTACTGCACTGATTAGAAAACGGAAACAGTTTTTAAAGTGTAAGCTAATTTCTTTCATCGCCATGGGGTTTTTCACCATAAAAACCATCCAAATTGACGGTGAACATCCTCACTACATTGAGAGAGCTGTCGTTGATTTGACTTTACGTTTCCTGCAAATGCTCAACGGGAGTAAACTAATCCTGAACTTCATGATTCGCGTGGTGGTGTCGTTTTTATTCGACATGGCTGAAGTTATTTTCCTCCTTGTCTACTGGGATTTCGGTGGACTGAGCACGTTCTTCGTCAACGTGTTCCTACCCCTTTACCTGGTGGGACTGGTAGGGTTCTGGGTTGTTTTTTACTCTCTGTATTTCTGCTGTGTAAAGTGTATGGATGGCTGCTGTTACTGTAACGTAGCTGCTCATTACGAACGATTCTTCTTCTTCTACAAGATCTCTTCTCTAACCCACGCTTCCTTCATATTCATTTACATGCTTGTTTATAAATCGGCCGTGTTTAACACTGTAGAAACAGTTCTCCTCATCATAGTATCTATCGACTTGTTCCTCATCCTGGTTGCCATGGCGATCTTCATATACGAGAAGTGTAAGAGTAATCGTGGTGGCACTATTTATCCAACCTAATGTATCAAATCTATAGTTCTATTAAGGGACCACCTGTGTAAAAGGACCACCTCTATATTGGGACCACCTGTGAAAATGATCATCTATGAATAAAGACCACTTGTGAATAACTATCATCTATGCATAAGGACGACCTCTTTAAAAGGACACCTGTGAATATAGGTTGTCTGTGAATAAGGACCACCTATATATATAGACCACCTGCGAATGATGATTTTCTGTGTAAAAGGTATGTAGGATATACAAGTCAAGGTCATCCGTCATCACCAATCATCGGTATGGATATAATGGCTGTGCATAAGTTTACCTGTGCTTAAGAACAACCTCTATAAAAGGACCACCTTTGAATCACTATCATCTGTGTAAAAGGTTTCTTGTTTAGTATGACAGTGTGCTTGGCCAAGGTCACTTGTTAAAATCGTCTCTACAGATCCATCACCTGTGTATTATGTCACCTATATAAAAGGAGAACCTGTGCATAGCAACCATCAAAGCATAAAGACAATCTGTGTATAATAACGACTCATCACATGACCAACTATATTTGAGGTAACTGACTCAAACCTG